CTAAGTTTATTTGCAGTTATCGCTTATGTAAAGATTTCTGAAAGTTTAGAAAATTTGTGGTGCAAAAAGAGTTGCTATCCAGTTTTGACTAACAAACAAGTTTTTTTTTCATCAAAAATGTTACCTGCTTCTGACAATAGTCTCATTTTTAATGTTCCTTAACTTTTAAATAGTTAAAAAGTATATGATGCTTAGTACAGTAAATATATATATATATATATATATATATATATATATATATATATATATATATATATATATATATATATATATATATATATATATATATATATATATATATATATATATATATATATATATATATATATATATATATATATATATATATATATATATATATATATATATATATATGTATATATTATAGGTTATAAATATGTACTATGTAGCCAGGATGCTGAGGTGCAGGCTTTCACTTTCAATCTTAAAGGTAAAAAATTACATAAATATAAATCTTGTTCCGGCTGGAATTTTTCCTTCAATTCTGGCAAATCCGGTTTCGGCCAGAATTCAAAATGTCCAATCCGCTACACCCCTAGTCTGTATATATTATATATGCTCAATATATAGTTTAATAGACATTAGGGAAGTGGGTTTAGGTAGCTTATACAGCATTTGTTTTAAAACAAATTTGTATTTTAACTGTGCCAGTATAATGGATTTTTGCAAATTAAATTATCAAAAGTCTATTATACTCTAAAAATCTATTATACTATAATAGCTTTAATAAACGCTTTAACTGGATTGAATCTATTATACTATAATAGCTTTAATAAACGCTTTAACTGGATTTTACCATAAATGTTATGTAAATAATTGTGTTATAATAATTATGTTATATAAGTTATGTTATAATACTTGTGTTATAATATTTGTGTTATAATATTTGTGTTATAATATTTGTGTTATAATATTAGTGTTGTAACATTTGTTTTATAATTGTTGTGTTATAATAGTTGTGTTATAATAGTTGTGTTATAATATTTGTGTTTTAATACTTGTGTTATATTTGTGTTATAATATTTGTGTTATAATACTTGTGTTATAATAGTTGTGTTATAATACTTGTGTTATAATATTTGTTTTATAATAGTTGTGTTATAATAGTTGTGTTATAATATTTGTGTTATAATATATTTTTTTTTATATACCATCAAGGCCACATGGCTTTCTTGAGCATCAAAATCAGGTATATAAAAAATTACCTAAATTTATTTAAATTGATAATTACAAGTACTTAAAACATTTTTTTTTACATTTCTGATTATTTCATTGGATTCGTCAACCCTGAAAATAGCCAGGTACAAATTTTTAAGTCAAAAGATCAAACATTTTTAAAGCTATGTAACTTGGAACCTTTAAACAAAGGTCACACTTCTGAGGGGACAAGAGGGGTATGACCAAGATCAGTTAAAAGTAAAATGATCATATTTCATGATCCTCTTGGAGCCAGAAGCTAAAATTTTCAAGGATTTTTTGTTTTATTAAGTACTCACAACTGTATAAAAATCAGCAAAATCTGAGATGTATGGTGACATGGCCTGGCTCAATTGACATGGAGTTACCCTAGTTTAACTAAAATGTAATAAAATTATGAAAAGATGAAATATTGAAAAAAAAATGAAAAATTAGAAGTAAGAAATACCATGACCAAAGCAGAGTATCTAATTTTATCTAAATATAATTTTCACAAAAATATATTTACATTTCACTTAAATGAGCTCAAAAGCATTCAGATAATCATTTATTCGTATATATATTTAGACGATAAATTTTCTTGGATATTTACAAATAGTAATAAAACAATAATTTTAAACACCATTCAAGTATACATTTAACATTATAAGTACACAATAATATATATATATATATATATATATATATATATATATATATATATATATATATATATATATATATATATATATATATATATATAAATATATATATAAATATAAATATGTATATAATATATATATAAATATATATATAAATATATAAATATAAATATGTATATAATATATATAAATATATATATAAATATAAGTATATATATATATATATATATATATATATATATATATATATATATATATATATATATATATATATATATATATATATATATATATATATACACATATATATAAATATATATATATATATATATATATATATATATAAATATATATATATATATATAATAATAATATATATATATTATATATATATATAATTAAATTAAATATATATATATATATATATATATATATATATATATATATATATATATATATATATACATATATATAAATATATATATATAATATATATATATATATATAAATATATATATATATATATAATAATAATATATATATATTATATATATATATAATTAAATTAAATATATATATATATATATATATATATATATATATATATATATATATATATATATATATATATATATATATATATATATATATATATATATATATATATATAAATATATAATTTAAGTTAGTCTCAAATTTTATGTAACACCTGTTACATAAAATTTGAGACTAACTTAAAATAATTAGTATTTAGTATCAAATGAAAGCTCTATCTTTCCTCTTTCAATTAGCATATAAATTCTCTGATTATTTTTTGTTTAGATAACAATTTAAAATGCCAAATCAACAAGCCCTAAAAAGTCGTGTGTATAATTTTTATAAAAAAAACATGAAAATAGAAAACACGTTGTTTGGAACCATTTCAAGATGGAGGGCTACTCAAAAGCTACAATTTATAGATATATGAACAGTTACGATCAAAATAATTTATTGGGTCGCAAAACTGGAAGTGGAAGAAAGCCTAATCTTAATACATGCTTTAAAAAGCCTATTCTTTGTTATAAAAGAAAAAAAAGACCAAGTAGAACTCCTGAACAGAGGCTTTGAGGTCACCAAAAATGTGGTTGACTTTATTCAAAATATCGCAACCATGAATTTATTATTGACGATGAGTCATAGTTTACTTTGTCGAATAGCACACTGGCTGCTAATAATACATTCTATTCAAATGATCAAAAGTTGACACCAGACATTGTTAAGTATTATAATGTTGCAAAATTTGAAAAAAAATTACTTGTATGGGTGGCAATATCCCCTCGAGGGGTCACATCTATTTACATTGTTCCTCTGGCTAAGTGGAAAACAAAGAAATCTATCTAAAAGAGTGTTTACACTCTTTTAAATAGATGTTTGTAAGCGCTTACAACCTTTTATTAATAAATATTATTGAGACACCAAGTATATCTTTTGGCCCGATTTAGCAACATCTCACTATGCTAATTTGGTAACAAAATGGTTAAAAACCCAGAAGATACTATTTGTTCAAAAAAAAGACAATCCAGCAAACTTACCAGAAGCTCGTCTATAAATAATATATCAAACCTTGAGCGTTGGATTTGTTATTGTGCCAGTAGACTTGACCTAAATGCTGTACAAAAGCTGGTACAAGGTACCAATACTAGACTTGATCAAATTCGAAGATATGGAGCCTTGTGATAAATTTATTTTTATTTTCTTATTCTGCATATTTAATACTAAGAACATACCAAAAAAAAATTTTTATCGTGTTTATTCAAGTTTTTATTCAAGTTTAAAGCCATTCTCAAATTTTATGGCACACATGTTATATATATATATTTTATTATCATTATTAGTATGGCTAATTGCTTTTCAACAGTGTATAAAAGTTATATATATATATGTATTATTATCATTATTAGTATGGCTAATTGCTTTTCAACAGTGTATAAAAGTTTTTTTGCCACAAACTGACGTCACTGCGCAAAATTTTTTTGGCTCAACTTTTAGACTAGTGTTTTATAGCTATGGCCGCATCTATAGTTTTTATTGGTCTAAGATCTTTTTAGTTCTGCCATTTGTATAGCATTATGTACGCTATACAAATGAGCGAAACCACTGAGCTATCAATGATATGCGTTTAGGAGAAAAAAAAGCCTAATTATAAATCTCTTAAAAGCTCTACATTCACAGAAAAAGTGCTTATGCATGTTAAATTTTTTGCTGTTGTAGCAATTTTTCAAAATGAATTATTGAAAAAAATTAATAAAAAATATTGAAGTAAATAAGGATAAGTTATAGAAATGATCGGTGTGGAGTAGGTAAGTATAGAAATGGTGGGTTTAGTAAAGATCCTTTATTTACCAGTTCGGAAAGCTAGGATATATATATAAGGAAAAAGTATTGAAAAAAAAATTACTATCTAATATTTTAATTTATAAAATATGAAGCAAAAAAAAAAATTTATGGGGTGATGCCGGTAACTTTTTGTAAACATTTTTTATTTAACGTATTTAAAAGGAACAGAGAATAAAATTTTGAAAAACAAGGTGTGATACAAAAGAACATTAAAAAATGTTTGATTGATGTTCCCTATTTAAAGTATTTTTAACAGTAAATGTCTTTCTATTTTAAAACCATATGAGATTATAATGATTAATAATAGTGTAGCAATCCAACATGAGATAAAGCAGTAAATATATTGTTATGCAAAAACTGACTACATTATTGTAAATATTTGCATAAATTAAAATATATTAAATTTTTTCTTTAATTTTTGTGATTGGTTTACTAAATCAGCCTTAGTTAAATGGTATGATAAAAATACCTGAAATATTTGTTTTGTTTTACTATTTTTATAGTATTATATTATTTAACTTTTTTTTATAAAATAAATTTTGGTTAGACTTTAAACCATTCTAGATCAATGTACAAACTTTAAACACCTTTTAACTTTTTTTTTTGATATGATAGTTAAGATATTTGGATTAAATGATTAATTTTTAAGAGCATATAACATAAATGTTTTCTTACAAATTAAAAGTTTTTTTTATAATTTTTTTATTTATTTTTTAAATTTATATAAGTGTCTTTGTTAAGCTGTTTGTATTTTATTTTATGCAGATCCTTTTGAAGAAATCGGAATGGAAAGTCAAATAATTTTAGACTCACAGATTTCTGTAAGTGCAAATTCAAAAGGTGGCATATCACAAGCACGCATGTATTATGAGTCTGGTGATTTTTATTCCTATCATAACAGAGAACTGTATATACAAATTGATATGATTCATGTGATGAGTATTAGTGGTGTGGCAATGAAAGGTTCTGATTCTTGGTGGTTTAGCTATAATGTTGTTCAAAGTTATTTGGTTTATCTTGGTATAAAAGATAATTTAGGTTTTGTAGGTGTAAGTTGTTTATTTTTTAAATAAATTTTTTAATGTTATACTTTTATAATTTAATTAAATCAAAAATGATATAGATTAACTTATGTCTTTCATTCACCACATGGATTAGGGAATTTTTCTCTCATTCATCCAATCAGGTGTGAGGAATATAACTTTATAAAATATTTTATACTTTATAAAAAAATCTTTTTTTATAATATATTATTATATTATATATATACTACCTATCTAATTTGATCTAATAATCAAAATCTTAGAAGTTAATAATTGAAAAAAAGAGTTATTCAATAATTGCTGTGAAAATAACAAGAAAATAAATGTTTGGATTTTTATTTTGTTGATCCTAATGATCTTACTTGCTTTTAATTTTAGAGCAATAAAAAGTGTAGAAAAATTTACAAATTGTCTCAAAACAGCTAAAAACTGGACTTTTCAGACAAATAGAGAGTTTATTTTAAGATATATTTAAGTTCTAAGCTGAAATAAGATGCTTACATTTTTTTTATTTATTGCAAGCAATAATAGCTTATCTGAAAACTAACCAGCAAAGACTTGTTTATGAATAGAAAAATACTACAATTGTCTTCAACTTGCTGTTTTTTAACATTTTCCAGATTTTTACCACGCTTGTTGATAGTTAAAAAAAAAAAAATTTATTAGGCTTTTTGAGGACATCCACTGTATTGTGTTTATAGTGCTATAATTTCTGAACTATTGCACTTCAAAGTCTGAATTTGCAAATTTAATCTATGTGCATAATGTAGATATTGATATGTGAAAATCATGAAAATTAGAGACAATGTCCAATTTTTTGTTTGCATTTGCTGTTAAAAGGAAAAGTATAAAAAACCTCAAAATAAAAATTAATATGAAATAATTAAGGAAACTCAACTCATTTGTTGATATTATCTGTTAGCTAATGAACAAACAATCAAATAAATATATTTAAACTATTTTAATTTCAAAAAAAAAATTTAGTTTATTGAAAATGAAACAACCATAAAACTCTTTCTTAACTTCTCCAAAAATTTTATATCCCAATAATCAAATATTACATATAATTAAGTATTACATAGAAAAAAGTAATTTTTAAATATAATATTGTTATCACCAAACAATATACCAAATAATCAAGAATAATTCTAACATTAGCATTGATATTGTGTTGTTAATTATAGATAGTCAAATGTGTTATTATATCAATAAATACTGAAAATAATAAAAAAGTAAAACATTTTAATTCTATTTTTAAGATGTTTATTTAAAGAAGTTTTCCATTCTTTCAAAGCACAAAAAGTACCCAACCAATCTGAAACTCAAAAAAAAATTGCAAGAACTTGCTGCAGAAAATTGTATGACAATTTTATTTTTAAATATTTCTGTATAATTGAAGACGATGGAATTTATATCACACTTTCTGGTCAAATATATGTTGAAGAGTGTTTACAAAAACGTCTTTTACCTCTCATTATATCACACAATAACAGACCTATGTTCTGGCCTGATTTAGCTTCAAGTCATTATTGTGAACTAGCTATAGAATGGTATTAAAAAAAAATAGGTGAAATTTGTCCCTAAAACAGAGAATCCTCCAAACTGACCAGAATTGAGAGTTATTGAAAAGTGCTGGTCTATTATTAAAAGAAAAATGAAAAAAATTTTTGCAGAAACATTAAAGATATTAAAATATTATTAAAAAAGGCATCAAATAGTTTTGTTTCTTATTCTGTGTGCAATTTTATGGGTACCTCCAAAGCAAAAGCTCAAAATTTTATTAGATTCCCATAGCACAATGGGGCCTAACATAGAAAAAATGGCTGAAAATCAAAAAAACATGTTAATCAATTTGAAATTTTGCACATTTAAAAAAAAGAGTATTCAAAATTGAATGAAAAAATAATTAAATGATTTTTGAAAAAGTTGTGATCATTCTTTTCAAAGTCTGATAAGCATTTCTTTAGCAATAAATTGGCGTTCAGTGGTTTCACTTTTTACAACATTAATTATGTCAAAATATATATTTAGTTTATATCAAAAACTTTTGGAAAAAAAAAATTAAAACATAATGCGTTTTTATAAAAGGGATCGTGGCAACAGAGGAGAGTGACGGGGAGTGGAGGGTTAAGCATCTCCCCAACTTTTTCCAAATTTTTATAATAAAGTGTAACATAAATTTATAATAAAATTTTTTCTACAAAAGATAAAAACCCAGGCTGGTATCTATGTTGCGAGCAAATAATAGAGAAAAGTTAATAGGCCGGGTGAAAATGAGCAATCTCTTTTACTCTGTCATTGGTCAGCTTTATGTGGATAAAAACTTGAGCAATTTTGCTTTAGTTTTTTGTTCACATAAAGCTGAGCAATTACTAAGATAATTGCTTAACTTTACGTGATTAAAAATCTGAGCAAAACTGCTGAAGTTTTTATTCACGTAAATCTGACCAATTACTGAGTAAAAGCAATTTCACATTTTTATTCACCTGGCCTAATGTATGAAATTATGAAATATTTCATTTAGTTTTATTCATATTTTTAGATCTTATTTTTATATATGTTTAAATATAAGCAAATTTTTGTATTATTTTTACTGTATTTTATTTTTAATGAAAACTTTAAGAAGACCTAATGGCCTTATCATAGAGCATTTAATGAGTTTGTACTCTCTTTTCCATCTTAAATGACAACGCTTATATGCTTTAAGCAAGATTTGAACTCGCAACTCCTTGGGTAAAGAGTTCAACATTTTAACCACTGCGCCACTCCTGCTATTTTTTATTTTAAAAAATCATAACATCTTATTGTAGGGTTGCAAAAAAAACGTTTTTTTTTGTAAAAAAAAAAAAAAACATGGTTTAAATTAGGTTTTTTATTTAAAAAATGCCGTATTTAGTTATCCTTTTAAACTAAAAAAAAGCATAACTCATTTTATTTGAGTAAACTATATTCTTTATCAATATTACTGTTATATTTCATCAAAATTATTCAATACATCATTGTTTATTGTTCTATATATAAATACAAGTTTTGCTGCTTTTTATACCCCTAATTGGCTTCTTAAGTTAGAATGAACAAGGTCAAAAGTTAAAAAAATTCTTTCGATTCCAGCACTAGAAGCTGGTGCATTTAATAAACCTTCAATATCCATTAAACTTCAATATCCATGTTACAATGCACAATTTTTAGAGATTTCCACCATTCTATTGGTGATACATTTTTAAAAAAAGATACACTATTCAAATAGCTTTTATCAAACAGAGCAGATTTGGCTTTTATTTTGAATATTATTGGTAACAAATTCTTGAACTATTTATCTGCAAAATTCATGACAGCTTCATTTCCATTTTCAAAAAGATAAGATCCAAAATATCTAGAATTTAGTGCGTTTGCCAGGAAATGAGCATTACTGACAGTCTGAAGGTATCTAGATTCAATTTTTTTTTTGTTTGATAAAAATGATAAACTGTTCATCAATTCTTTAAAAATTTCAACAGTGTCACTTATTTTTGTTTGATCTCTTTGCAACTTATCTAGAGCTACTGCAATTAGTTTTAATATTTTAAATAAATCTTCTGTGTTTCACTTTATCTGTATATCGCTTACTTTTTTACAAATCATGGGATCCAAGTCTTTGTTTTTTTCAAACATTGTAAAAATGATGCTCCAGTTGTTGACATTTTTTTCAAGTGAATCACATACAGAATTCCAGCGAGTTTCAGTAGGAAGTGGCAATTTTTTCCTCTACTTAATTTATAAATTGCTCCAGCTTGATGATTATTTCTTATATATTTTATTATTTATGTTTATATATTTTATATATTTTATTATTATTGCTTGCTCACATTTTCATTGTTAAGATCATTTGCTAAAAGATTCAGCACATGAGCACCACACCCATAAGTTATGATAATATCTCTTTCAGATGACAGTACTTGTCTCATTAATTTCATATTAGCTGCGTTGTCAGTCACAAAGCTTTTTACTGTGCATCCAAATTTATGTCTTACAGAATCTATTTCTTTTCTTGCTAATTGTGTAAGATATTCACCAGTATGTGAATGACCAGAAATGTTGATTGTTTTTACTAAAAGGTTAATTTTAACTGTAATTACAGAGATACAAGCTATAGATTCATTATGTACATTATTCCAGCCATCTAAAGATATGGCTACAATTTTCCCATTCCATTGTATTACATTTTTCAATTTCTTCTGTGTAAACCCTAACTAATATTTCTCCTCCAATTTGAGTTTTATTAGGTAGAGTGTATCCTGGATGAAGCATATTGATAAATTTTTCAAGTTCTTTGTTAATATGTCTTTATGTGATAGTAATTTAAATATATATGTTTACAATTTAGGTAAAGTATAAAATTTAAAATGACAATGCAGTAATTTAAATACCTTCAAGAAGTTGTTGATCTTCAATTGATTACATAATTTCATGGGGTTGTGATTGCTTGTACTTTTTTATATGTTCATGCATCCTTTGAATTTAACCTTCCATTTCTTTTCTACAGGCATTATGAACTGCTCTACACCCCTTTCTTTCTGGAACAGTCACTCGTGTAAATTTTAACCAAATCATATCACATTTGCGCCATTTTTTTGTGACATTTTTGTGGTATCAATAAATTATGTTAGAACTACTTATAATTTTGCTAAACATATAAATATATATATATATATATATATATATATATATATATATATATATATATATATATATATATATATATATATATTGCATCATTGTAGTATATTATATATATATATATATATATATATATATATATATATATATATATATATATATATATATATATATATATATATATATATCGTTAAGAAAACTTCTTGATGAACCTATTGAAGGAGAAACAGCCTGTAGAAGAAAACAGATAAATAAATGTTATTACTAATTTATTACTGCTCTGTTCTGTAAAAACACTGAGGACTCTATTCTATGAAAAAAAAAAAATCATGGACTTAAAAATAAGTATC